TGTGCAAACTGTACAACACACACACATGTGGAGCCCAGTAGTTTTTCATGGTCACCAATTTTACACCCAAAATAGTGGTACTAAGCTACTTTTACTATATATGTGATGTTTTTCCTCGCTAAAACACCAAACCAGAAAGTGAACAACCCACCAAAATGTTCATCTTTCTTGTTGTTGTTTCCGTCGAGATAACTTTATAACTACTTTATTACCAACGTCAGTTGAAACCTAAATCTACTCTTTGTGTTTCTGGGTAGTGCACTGTGTCATCTCTTAGTTGTAATAACAAGTAATAATTAGAAAAATCATAATTCTAGTGTAAACGATGTTATCATTACTTCTTGAAGTTAGATGTTTTACAGAAATCTGGTGTTCCTTTATAAAGCTTAAGTACAGGGTGAAACAGGAATTACCAGCCAATAATAGATGAACATTTGATGACTGTAACATGTATAATACTCAATACTTTGTAAACTATACAATCGGTGTCTTCATGTAGCCAATCCCTATATTATGTATGAAGTGGATTAAACGAAAATCAAAACACAAAATTTAAAATTTTATTACACACATTTACAGAATACACTAACTTTCAATCGGGGGCAAATAAGTAGCAAAAGAAGTAATAAAAACATTTTGTAAATTTAAAATGATGTCGGGATGGCAGTACCAAAAAAGAATGCAAACAAAAATATAGGGATGATACAGTTATACATAGATCATCCCTACATGATGTTGATTTTTTAGCGTGCATATTTGTATCATGTCTACTGAGTATCTTGGCCATCCCTACATATCGAGTCTACCGACTCTATGGATAAGTCGTCCTCAGATGTGATATTTAAATAATAGAATTATATGCCTAGACTAATAATATAAGAAACCAGTTTTCTTTTTGAGAACAATTATACTCCATACACACCCAATGCACCTGCGCCTCTAATGCTGTTATTTTTCAGAATATAGTTATCAAAACTTATAGAATGAATTTCCCTGTAAATGATACTCACTAGCAGCACAGCCGTAATTCACTGCAAGACACTATCGACAACTTCCAGCCCTTTTACATAAATTATTACTTATACAAAACAGTGAAACAAAGAACGAACGGGTTTTACATGAATTTACTAAACTCTTTTGGTGCAACTTTATTTTTTTACACTAGCATGTATAGGAACAAATATTATTCATTTGAGTACAAAAAATGAAACCTTGTATGTTAAAAAGAATGTGGTGATTTTTAAACGAAAGTGATCAATGACATAATGAAGATTTTGAGAAGTCGTTAAACTTTTCCTTTTATTTTTCTGCAGTAATATTCATAATTTATAAGACTATACGAAACACATTGCAGTTTTTTTTTCTGAACGTTCATTAATTCATTTATTATTTATAAGAAGTAATATTTTATTTACTGAATAAATGTTATAAAACCCAATACAAGGTATAAAATGTATATTGTAGAACACAAAAGTGCATCTTTATTATACAATATGTGTTAAACCAAGTTTTTTAATAACTGTAAAACACAAACTTCACTTTAGTGATCTGGTAAGTGCTAAAAAACAATAATAATTTTATTTCAGTTATAATATTTCATATACACATTTCTTTCGTTTCCGTTTATCCCTTTCAACATCTTTTTATATCCATTAAAATACAATCGTACATTCATAAATCAGCAAACACCAAGCAATTTTTTAACAATAATACAAAACATATAAAGAATCCTTCTGATTCCATACATTTATTTATCCGCCGAAATTGAAAGTTATTACATCCTACTGCCTTTCCGGAAAAATCTAGTGTTTTAAAAATATTTTTCTGGTCTTTCACATGTTCAACCTAATAACCTTTAGTTCTAAACTACTTACAAAATAGTCAATTTCAATATTTGAATTATTATCCAATTCACATAAATAAGAACATGCACTTAAAAAGAAAAGTGAGGATTTTACATCACAATAAGTCTGGCAATAATTTTACATAGTTATTTTTTCACTATAGTGCTAAGTGGTTTCCCATTATGAAGAAGTTTGTGTACTGCAATCCGCTGCCGACGAGGCCTTTCGCGCAAAACCAGAATTCATCAGGTCAGCTGAACTTACAATATACATAGCCTTGGTCGAAATACGTATCAGGTGAGATGGTCTTACAACACCCAAAGCTCGGTGTAAATGTGTTTCGATCGAGGTTTTACGGGTTGTTAGTCCAGCTGAACTGTTTAAGTTTGGTATTAGAAGAAAGGCCTAGTCGAAAACGGCGTAAAGCACGTAGTGTGCAATGTAAATGCTATTATACACTCTTCTCACTAGAAACTCGTACAGGGCCAGTAAAGAAAGATGATTAAAAATAGTATTTCTCTTATTGTGCTACATTTCATACAAACTACCAGTCTGTAAATCTTGCTTCTCGAGCCTAGGCGTCATATACGTTAAAATCAGAACTTTAACCCTATTAGGAACGTTACATAGTATAAAGTAACTATACATTAGAATGTACTAACATTTCACATCAACTTTTGATTTTACACTTTAAAATAATAAAAAACCAATAACGATAACAAAAAAGTCTTTAACCCTTCAACTGCGGTTGATATCATATGTTGTTAGCGTAGGCGACTGCAGTTGGCATCATATGATGCAAACATTTTGCGCGCAACATTTTGAATGGCCCGCCGCAAAAATTCGCGAATTTTTGCGCATGGGGTGGTAGGCAGATTTACAAAAGCCGCAAGCGAAGGGTTAAGCCTATTTCATGAGGTGTGACATAACACCTGCAGCCATATGTGATATTTTAAAAGGAAGAAATGGGGCTAAACAACTTTTTCGTTTCACCATTTGACGTATATTATCTTAATAATAAAAAGGCCTATCATCATCATGGTTTAACAAAAAAATCCCTGTTCAACAATCAGATTGTAACAATACCGATTAATTTGTACTGTCATTATCATAACTAACTACTAATATATACTTTATATTTCTGTATATATTTTCCAGGTGAGTCGATGAAATACTGATATGTTTTCCTCATAATAAATTAATAGCTGTTTGTTTGTTTGAAATTAAGCACGAAACTACACAATGGGTTAACTGTTGTCTGCCCACCACGAGTATCGAAACCCGATTTCTAGGGTTGTAAGTCTGCAGACATTCCGCTGTGCCACTGCGGGGGGGGGGGTATTAATAATTGTAAGTAAATCTGAACTGCAGATGAAAGCCGTGTATTGATATTAAAGCAATGTTGTTGTTTTTTCGTTCTGAGAATTACAATGTTGACTAACACATCAGTTAAACATACCTTCCTCGAGTTGACAATGTCTTTCTGTTAAATCCAGATTACTAAGAAGTAAAGAAGTATATTAATGTTAACAAGTGACATCTTACTATAGAGATGATACATTATGCGTGTGTTAGCATGATAACAGGAAACTGTGTACATTAGCTATCCTGTTTTAGAATGTTTGCCCGAGAAGGGGAAAAAAGCCTCTGAAATAGGGCACATTTCCACTTTTTAAAAACTTTTTGCACTGAATCACTAAGGGTTGGCTGGATAAATTACCAGAAATTTTGGTATGGTAACCGGAAACTGTCCGAATTTTGCCCAAGAAGGGGAATACAAAACACCCTGAAATATGGCACATTTCCACTTTTTTTATAGACTTTTTAGCTATGAATTTAAAGACATAAGTACTTAATCAGTTAAATGAGTCAATTACTATCTTACACAAATAAAGGTATGCAATTAGTATGTAATGGGATCATTAAGGATTTAATAACAAAAGAAAGAAGAAGAATGTTATCTAACATTTCCTTTATGTAATTCTTGATTCCTTAATGGGTACCCCCATTAATCACATAGAACATCAGTGTATGTATTAAAACTGGTAATAGCGATCAATTCAGTAAGCAATTTATAAAAACTCAAATCTTATGCGTAGAAACCCAAAACGCAATATACATAGAGACACGCATATATATATATTTATTAAGGAAAAAACAAAAATCCAGTGGTAAAACAGTAAAATTTAAAAGAATAATATCTATTTTGCTAAACTTAAGTAAATAAGTAGTTAAAAAATATATATATATATATAATTAATTGCACAAAATGTTGTTTGAAAACAGTAGACTTTGTGCTATTAGTGGCATACGTAAGGGTGGGGTAGCTACCTCAGGGCCAACAACCTCAAAGGATTGCTTGGCTCAGGAAAGGTCAACTTATGAGGAATATAAAATCAGCACAGTCCCAGCTCGTAAAGGCATACTTGTAAGATATACAAGATTAACACATTTGGAACACAAGGCGCCACCTATGAACAGATCCAGCAGGGTAACCTTTGAAACCCCCCACCCTCCCTACGAGTCACCATCTAAAGGTTCACATACCCCCTCCCTATACACACACTGTACACACCCGACCGTAATTTATACGAAACATTATTTTATTTTGTTTGTTACAATTTAGTATAATCTTTTTACTTACATAAAATTATTAAAATGTTTTGACGAAGGTCCAAGAGGTCATGGACACGTTTAATAATATGCAACTGTTATTCTTAAATTACTTTCTGAGTTGAGTTCCTTACAAATCTCGGGTCCTCCGCGGTTAACTCGCAGGTTAACCAGTTCTGGCCCTGCCTGTGAAAGACAAACAAAATTTTAGTTGTTTAGTCAAGGGGCCGCCGAATAATAAACCTCAATTTGAGGAAACCTCAACTGTGAGAGGAACAGTTCGTATGTCAAGAAGTTCATTTACTCACTTTAAGAAATCTTCATTGTCATCAAGTTTTCCGTCAATTAAAAATGGTAGACCATGCTATCAACTGAACAGAAACGCGCATGGAAGTGTATTTTAACGTAAAAAGAACTTTGTTATAATGTGAGTTTGCTTGTTAAGCGCAAACCTACACAATAAGCTATATGTGCTGCGCACACAACGAGTATCGAAACCCAGTTTTTAGCGTTATAAGCCTTTAGAATTACCGCTGAGCCACTGGGGGGGGAGGTTCTAACGTGAGTAAAAATAAATGAATACTCGGTATTTTGTATGTTTATTAAATTATTTTTCAGCTATTATAAAGTTTCACTTTTCAACTGTATTAGTGTGCTTAATTGGTCAGTGATGTTTAATGGAAAATTGTGGTATGTAAGCCGTTTACAAGCCGGCGAAAAATGATTACAATTATACTTGTTATAAGACATCAGTATCAGGCCTATTACATTTTCACACACCACATTCTTAATCTAGTCCGTTAAGGATTTTCAAGAATTAGAAGAGTGTATAATAATAGTATTTCAACCAGGCTGTATTTGTTATATCCATTGCCGATGACGCGTTTCGATCAATCCAGAGTTCTTGAGGATGGGAAAAAATGACGGAAATTATATTTGTCATAATACATTAATAGTAGGCTTTGTAACAGCTGTTTAAAGGATAATCAACGACAATTCTAATAAAGTAATGACATTTAAACAGTAGGAAATGCAATGCGTTGAAGTCTGTTTAAGATGAAGTACTAAACATTAAGTTGGCTATAAAAACTCTCGAATGATAGGCATATTGATAGCCTTTCGTATCATTTCTATTTTAATTATGATAGAAGACTTCCAGTTATTATCATTATTACGTTATTATTGATATTCGAACACACTGTTAAAAGGTATAGAACTTATTAAATAATTTACTTCAAGCCATCTCCATCTGTTGTACAATAATATAATTTTTTCAGATTTATTATTACTTTGAACAAAAATCATAACTGAAGATCACTTCATTACTGAAAATAACGTCTAAGATTAGAATGTACTTGAAGTTTATGTATATATTTTTACAACTTCCGAAAGATAACCTAAAGTGACATTTCTGAGAGCCGATATTTATCATAAATACATTTCAAGGTCTTTTTAGAAAAAGATATTGTCATTACAAGTCAAGTTTTCCAGGTGTTCTATATTACAAAACAAGTCTAACACAGGTTGATATTCAAATCACGTGACTCTTACTTTTTATATATTGTTAAATTACAAGTAATATTATATTTTTTACAGCTTCGGACGAAAGACTTGAGACCATGACAACACGACGAACGTGTTTATCTTTGGAGAAAGGGTGTCTGGACATAAATGGCTGATGAGTGTATCAATTTAGGTTTCCCTAAGAATAAAAATCAGAGTTAAATTTGAACTCAACAATAGAAAAAGAAACATGAAAATTACAAAAGCTCTTGCTTTATTTCTGGCGGTGTGAAAATAGATGCATTACAATGATGGAGACCAACGTATAATTTTAAAGTTATAAGTTGGACAGTAAATTGAACATTCACTGCCGCCTCTCCGAAAATATAACAAGCTAAAGTCAGTAAACTTTATTAATATCTTGTCTCGAAGTTACAAAATAAAATATATTTAGTGTCAGGCGTTAATATTTTATATATATATTTTTTTTTACATTTTTTTCGTAGGACAGATAAGTGCGAGGTAAGCAAACTTCACACTTATATATTGCCCTTTAAATGTCGGAAAATATGTCAGTTTCAATAAGTAAAAGGCATATTACGAAAAACTTACAGTATTCTTTTCCTTCTGAAAGATCCCGATCACATTCTGTGTCCGAAGGTTCATAGCTGTCAGTAGCAGCTGAAGAAAAGGCTAGATGAATTGGACTATAGGTGGCGTCTTGACTGGAACAGCAGTCACTGCTGCACAAAATAACCCCCACTTTCAAGCATTTTGTTTGATTGTTTGACTTTAAGATTTTTTTGGCAATAAAGTACTTCAAAACAAAAAAAATCGTATATAAAAAAATGAAAGTAGATAAAGATATTTAAATGATAATATTTAAAGCAGAGAATTCTAATATTGTGATCAGTAAAGGAAAAAAAAAATATTTTTCTTTTTCTAAAAGAATAAAAAGTTTAATACACGAAGGTTCATCACAGTATGTTTCAACATTGATCTTCAAGATATAAATATTCTGTAATGGAAATGATTATGATATAAGTGTTTTTTTTATTTTCTAAATTTAAAAGTGCTTTACGTTTTACGTCACATTTATAAGTACTTAATAATTGTTATAAAACAAAAACGCCATTCAAACAAAATGTCTGAAGTGAGGTTGTAGAAGAAAACGTTACAAACAAAAATTAGTCATTTCACTGCTTCATGCAAGTCTTAAAAACTTAAAATAAATCAGCTAAGAATGACGACAAAGAAATGTATTTAAAATGACATCTTCTAAAACGTTTTTAAATACTTTGCAAAGGTAATTAACATTTTAAGCAACCAAGTGTTTGAGCTGTTTGAAAATAAAACTGAAGTCGAGTTTTATGATTGAATAAAATATAATGTATTTAAAATGATTACTCCATAAATTATACTTATAATACTGATACTTTGTCTTTGAATGCTTACTGAGAAGAATTATTTTAAGTATAAAATTTAATCGCGAATCAAAATCTATGCGGAAGTAGAACAACTTATTATAACTCTTTAGACTAGGGCAAAAAATATATATTTGTATGACCCTCAGTGGCTCAGCGATAAGTCTGCTGGCTTACGACGCTAAAAATCGGGTTGCGATGCCTGTTGTGTGTGAAACATTGTATAGCTTTCTGCTTAACAACAAACAAACCTAAACCAAAGGTATCTGTATAAAACACTCGTTTATTCACATAATGTTTAAACGCTTTTTACAAGTTTATCATAACAGAAACTGTCTAAGTGTATTTCCAGCTTTTTTCTGTGTATGTTTTAGCTATGACGGGCATTAAATTTATATTCAGAGTTCAAATGGAACAATATGCTTGTTCGTTTGTTTTTACTACAAAGCCATACAATGGGCTATCTGTGCAGTGCCAACTACGGGTATCGAAACCCAAGTTTTTGTGTTATAAGCTTTCAGACTTGCCGTTGAGCAACCGAGGTGGGGGGGGGTCGAAAAATAAGCAATTAAACTAGCAAAATGAAATTACATGTTTTCTCACCTACCAATTACTCTATTTTGACGCTTTTATGTAATAATTTTAATGCACAGGTAACTTCGAAATGCCCGAACATTTTGTAAGGCATTATTTAAACAATCTTAAATAATCTAATAATTTCGTTAGCTAACATGATGCGCAAATGGAGCAATCGCGCGAATTTCGCTCAGCAATTACGTTGGTAAATTAATTCCAGATGTGAATAAAAATAATCAACTGTATAATATTTGTTATTTTAAGTTATTTTAAGACTTACCGAGTGCCTTGCTGTGGTGTGAACCACCTGGTGGAACTATGGAGAGCTGGGTCCATAGTTCTTGATCTCGTTTGTTTGCGAGGCTGCTCGTACCCTTCGCTGTGCTCTGCAGTGCCATCTACAATAAAATAGCTTTTAAGTTATTGTTTCATAACTTGTGTATAGCAAGATTAACAGTTTGTTTATCATAGGTTTCAAAACGTTTACATTATAACTGGTTAATAGTCTTAAAAAAATCAATGAGAATGCCCTCCGGTAACGTAATGTATCTAATATATTATAAATAGATACATATAATATTACATCTGTCAAACACTGTACAATAAACGCTTACGCCACCTATTGTAATACTTACGGATAAGACAATGGATATACATTTACATCTTTATGAAGTTTCAAAAAGATTAAAATGTTTTAAACAAAAATAGCTTTCCAAATAAGATGGCTGACAACATCATACAAGAAAGACTTATTCGGTAAAGTAAAAAAATATTTAATAATTAATATGAAACTTCCCTAAAGAATGTCTCTCAACAGTATTTTCATATACTACAAACATGTACTAAACGTGAAAAATCAATTGTGTAAACTCTTTCATAGAGCTTATCTACACTTGAAGTTAAAGAGTTGTTTCTAAACTTTAAAACAAGTTACAACAGGTTTCAGGTTTAAAGATAAAATATATTTGAAAACATCCAATATTGGGTATGAACTTAGAGGTCCTAAAAATAACAGGAAGATTAGTAGCTAATTAATAATTATACTTAGGTGATCTATAAACTATTTACCATGAAAACGATTGATAACCGATTGCCACAATATTACTATCAGGCAGGCGGCAACACTGCCTATGTAGAAATGACTGGATTGTTCATTGAAACGGCATTTTAAATATCTCCTCAATAGGTCATCAGAACTTTAAAATACCATACAGTATTTCCTTCTATAATGTAATGAATGTGTCACAAGTTCTGGGAATATCTATAAATATCATAGCAAAAAGTTTGAATTTCTTGTTTTTCTTTCTTGTGCTTCCTTTTTCTTACATAACTCAAAAACCAAAACAATTATTAACTAGTAGCACCAAAACAGTTGTATCAACCAATTTCACAGACATAGTTTCAAACGGAGTACCCGCTTTTATAAGTATTATTAACTAGTAGCACCAAAACAATGGTGTCAACCAATTTTACAGACATAGTTTCAAACAGAGTACCCGCTTTTATAAGTATTATTAACTAGTAGCACTAAAACAATGGTGTCAACCAATTTCACAGACATAGTTTCAAACGGAGTAACTGCTTTTATAAATATCATTAACTAGTAGCACCAAAACAATGGTGTCAACCAATTTCACAGACATAGTTTCAAACAGAGTACCCGCTTTTATAAGTATTATTAACTAGTAGCACTAAAACAATGGTGTCAACCAATTTCACAGACATAGTTTCAAACGGAGTACCCGCTTTTATAAGTATTATTAACTAGTAGCACCAAAACAATGGTGTCAACCAATTTTACAGACATAGTTTCAAACAGAGTACCCGCTTTTATAAGTATTATTAACTAGTAGCACTAAAACAATGGTGTCAACCAATTTCACAGACATAGTTTCAAACGGAGTACCCGCTTTTATAAATATTATTAACTAGTAGCACCAAAACAATGGTGTTAACCAATTTCACAGACATAGTTTCAAACAGAGTACCCGCTTTTATAAGTATTATTAACTAGTAGCACCAAAACAACGGTGTTAACCAATTTCACAGACATAGTTTCAAACGGAGTATCCGCTTTTATAAGTATTATTAACTAGTAGTAATTTAAAAAAATCATAATTCTAGTGTAAGCGATGTTATCATTACCCTTTGAAGTTAACTTTCTTATCGAAATTTGGTGTTCCTTTAATTAAAAATCTTAAGTGCAGGGGGAAACGGAAATTACCAATTAATCATAGATAAATAATAAATATTGCAGTTGGAAACTCATTATATTTAGAACTTAGTTATAAATACTACCTTCCTATGTCTATTGAAACACTGCATTAAAAAAAACACAAGCAAACAAGTAAAGAAAAACGTTCCATAAAAGGAAGTAAATGTAGGGATGACTAATATCAATCATTCAAAAACAATGCAAACAAGATAATAGGGATGACACTTGCATCATACCTAAATAATAGTACAGGCAAGAATTAACATATAGAAATATATATAATTATTCAATCACAATTGAGTTTAATTTATCCTATTTTTGTGAGTTAACATTCTACTACACGGTG